CATCTCTACAGCTTCGACAGAAGTCGTTATATGGGGCGCCCAGCCTGCTTGCATGTGTGCCTATTAGCCAGTGTCCCGTGAGAGAGCGTATGACTGAGCTGCACCTACTCCTACTGAGTTTGCAAAGCTCATCGGTGCGCTTCTTATTGATGTTAGGCCATGTTTGCCGAGTTATGCGACATAGTGACACGGTTTGCCATCTGTCATTTATTAATCGCTTAAAGTGTTCTTTTATTTTGAGCTTGCAGGTGGCCATTGGCATACGAATATCCTCCTTATCATGGAGAAGGGGGATTGTTGTGCCAGCTCTGGCCAGCTCGTCCGCTATGCAGTTGCCTTCAATGTCCTGATGACCCGGGACCCATATTAGGCTGATGACGAACTGATAAGCCATCTCATGAAGAGATTTGCGACAGTTTGCCACGGTGGCCGAGCTTGATGTTATCGCATTCAGCGATTTGATCGCAGCTTGGCTATCACTATAGATATTTATATGAGTTGCCGCAGGGGCTATTTCCTGAAGACAGCTCAAAGCCTCCTTGATCGCTATGACTTCTGCTTGGAAGACACTGCAGTGATCCGGGAGCCTGAAGGACTGTCTTATGTTCAGCTGTTCGGAGTAGATTCCTCCTCTGACCTTGTTGTCCAGCTTTGAGCCATCAGTAAAGATTCGAATGGCTCCCTTTGGACCAGGTGGTCCCTCAAGCCAGATGTTTCTGTGAGGGATGATTGTCTCGAAGGGGGTATCTGTATACTCCCTCGGAACGCAGTAGTCCGTTTTTGTGGGGACGATTTTGTTTCCATTTAGGATGGACGCATGACCGGTGTGATGTGACACCCATTGGTCAGAGTCTCTAAGACGGATTGCTGCCATTTCTGCCTGCTCCTTACCTGCAAGGTCAAGGCTCTGCAAGCATAGGATAGCATTTAGCGCATCCGTTGGTGTTGTGCTGAGAGCTCCACTGATGCATAGGGCTGCAGTGCGCTGCACCTTGCCCAGTTGTTTAGTGATGGTCCCCTTCGATAGGGCTGGCCACCACACTGCGACTCCGTAGAGTAGTATTGGTCTGACTATTGCCAGGTAAATCCATTGGACTATTCTTGGGTTCATGCCCCATCTTAGCCCAATGGCTTTCTTGCAAGTGTAGAGTGCTATCGTAGCCTTCTTCACTCTGTCTTTGATGCTCAGGTTCCAGCTAAGTTTTTTGTCAATTACCAACCCTAAGTAACTGGCACTGTCGCTGAAGGAGAGCCTACATCCGTTTAGTATTGGGGGGTTGAGGGACGGGATTTTGTATTTGGTTGTAAACAATACAAGTTCCGTTTTAGAGGGATTGATTCCCAGTCCACGCGACTCTGTCCATTCTGAGAGTCGCGCGAGCTTTGCGGTCATTAGATCGCAGAGTGTTTGAGGGAATTTTCCCGAGAAAATAATGGCAACGTCGTCCGCGTATGCTACCACCTTGCAGCCCCCCCCTTCCAGGTCACACAGTATCTTATTGACTGCTATGTTCCATAGAAGGGGAGACAGGACACCACCTTGCGGGGTGCCTCTGTTGACATACCTAGACTGAGTGGACGATCCCATTGATGATGTCACTGTCCTGCATGTGAGCAATTGATCTATGAGCATCATCAAGTGACGATCCACTCCCAGGTCAGTCAGGGCTTCTGTGATGGCTCCCGGTATGACGTTGCTAAAAGCTCCCTCAATGTCTAGGAAAGCGATTAAGGAGTATTCGTTGACTTGTAGAGATTTCTCTACCGCCGAGATTACTTCATGGAGTGCCGTTTCCGTGGATTTTCCTTTTCGGTAGGCATGTTGAGCGCCTGACAGCCACTGAGGATTTATAGTTGTCCTCAGCTGCAGCCCTACTAGTCTCTCAAAGGTTTTGAGAAGAAAGGACGATAGACTTATTGGTCTGAAGTCTTTTGGGGTTGTGTGTGAGGGTTTCCCTGCTTTGGGGATAAAGACTATTTTAGCCTTTAACCAAGCTCGGGGGATTTTTCCCACTGTCAGTATCTTCCTGAAGATACTTTGCAGCCAGTTGATGGCCATATCCCCGGCTTTTTGCAACTGAGCCGGAATGACTTGGTCCGGGCCAGGCGATTTGTAGGATTTGAAGCTGTTTACTGCCCAGCTAATATTCCGTTTTGTGAGGATGTGCCCCATCGAGGTTTCCGGGCCTTCACTTGGGGTGTCTGCCGGCTCGATGGTCGTACACCCAGGAAAATGAGTATCGAGTAGAATGTGTAGGGAGTCCTCACTAGAGTTAGTCCACGTACCATCCGTTCTCTTGAGGTATCCCACCGGAGGGGGATGTTTTTGACAGGATCTTGCGTAGCCTTGAGGCTTCTGACGTGTCCTCAATTTCGGAGCAAAATTTGTGCCAAGAGGCCCTTTTTGCTCTCCTTGTTTCTTTTTTGTATAGGGTTAGCTTACTTTTGTAATTTTCCCAGTGCGCTTCCTCGCTGCTGCTTTTGGCTCTGTTAAAGAGCGTCCTGCAGTCTTTCCGGAGGGTATCTATATGTTTAGACCACCAGGGGGGTTTCTTTTTCCCTCTTGGTTTGGTTGGGGAGCAAGCTGCCATGAAGGCCTTGTTGCAAGCTTCCGTGAAATTGTCCACAAGACGATTAAGATCGTCTTGTGTGTCAGGGCATTTTGGGGCTAGGGGGGGGTAATTCCTCCATTTTGCACTATACATATCCCAGTTGGCTTTCCTTGGGTTAGTATAGCTAGTGGGTATGGTGCTTTCGAGCGATAGGATTGTCTCGATGTACCTGTGGTCGGAGAAGGAGTGGTCCTCTAGGACTCTCCAACTTTCCATTATGTCTGACAGTTTGTGAGAAAATAGAGTGAGGTCAATAACCTCTTGACGGTTTTTTATGATAAAAGTGGGGTCATTACCCCGATTACCGATAATTAGGTTGGAGTTCAGGATGAAGCTGAAAAGTGACTCACCCCTTGCATTTGTATCCGAGCTGCCCCATTGGGTGTGATGAGCGTTGGCATCGCAGCCTATTAGTAGGCTTGTATCCGACCTCTCGCTGTCTCTGGCAATCTTGCGAACGAGGTCACTGGGAGGATCGCTTTCCTCGTGAGCCATGTAGGACGACACCAGGTTTAGGCGTGTCCCTTGTAGCTCTAGGCTAGCTGCCGTATTATCGCCATTGCTAAAATTGTGGAGCAGAAAGATATTTAGGTGCTTCCTTGCTAATATGCAGGTTCTAATTTTACCTTCAGTTTGGGCTACAATCAGCTTGTAGTCCTTCGTCGCTAATCCACAGACCCTGCCTCCTACCACCCAGGGCTCTTGGATTAGGACTATATCCCCTCCGCTTGCGACCAAGCGGAGTATCAGGTTGTAAATATCAGGTTGTTGTAAATATGTCTGAAATAAAGACTGATAGTATTGAAATTCGAACAATATAAGCAAATATGAGCTAAATATGCAACTATTTTCTGATTTGGGCGACTTTTAAAAGTGGTAAAACTTTGGTTATTAAGGCAAAAATATGCATTTTTTATTCGGATTGGGTGACTTTGAAACTTGTTTGTAAAAATGTTTTTTATAAAGACTGATATTATTAAAATTCGAACAATATAAGCAAAAATAATCGATATAGGCAATGCTTGTCTGTTGGACTTTAGAAAGTTGTTCTAAAAATGTCTGAAATATAGACTGATATTATTGAAATTCGAACAATATAAGCAAAAATAATCGAAATAAGCAATTTTTTTCTGTTTTAGGTGACTTTAGAAAGTTGTTGTAGAAATGTCTGAAATAAAGACTGATAGTATTGAAATTCGAACAATATAAGCAAAAATAATCGAAATAAGCAATTTTTGTCTGTTTTAGGTGACTTTAGAAAGTTGTTGTAAAAATGTCTGAAATAAGACTGATACTATTGAAATACGGTTGTTGTGAAATGACTAATATTATTGGAATCGAGCAAATATGCGGGGATAGCATTTATTTTCTGATTTGGGCGACCTTTAAAAGTTGTAAAAATTGTATTATTAAGCAAAAATCTGCACTTTTGTGGGTGACTTTGAAACTTGTTTGTAAAAATGTTTTTTATAAAGACTGATACTATTGAAATACGAACAATATAAGCAAAAATAATCGAAATAGGCAATTCTTGTCTGTTTTAGGTGACTTTAGAAAGTTGTTGTAAAAATGTCTGAAATAAAGACTGATATTATTGAAATTCGAACAATATAAGCAAAAATGGCAATGAGATTCTTGTCTGTTTTAGGTTACTTTAGAAAGTTGTTGTGAAAATGGTCTGAAATAAAGACTGATACCATTGAAATTCGAACAATATAAGCAAATATAATCGAAGCCCAATTCTTGTCTGTTTGTAGGTGACTTTAGAAAGTTGTTGTAAAAATGTCTGAAATAAAGACTGATACTATATAATACACAAATGGCGCAAAAGAATCGAAATAGGCATTCTTGTCTGTTTTAGGTGACTTTAGAAGTTGTTGTAAAAAGGTCTGAAATAAAGACTAATATTATTGGAATTCGAACAATAGGGCAAATATAAGGTAGATAAGCATTTATTTTCTGATTTGGGCGTCGGCTTTAAAAGTTGTAAAAATTGTATTATTAAGCAAAAATCTGCATTTTTGTCTGGTGGGTGACTTTGAAACTTGTTTGTAAAAATGTTTTTTTAGAGACTGTCTTATTGACATTCGAACAACATAAGAACAAATAATCGAAATAGGCATTTCTTGTCTGTTTTAGGTGACTTTAGAAAGTTGTTGTAAAAATGGCTGAAATAACGACTGATACTATTGAAATACGAACAATTTTAAGCAAAAATAATCGAATTGGGCAATTTTTGTCTGTTTTAGGTGACTTTAGAAAGTTGTTGTAAAAATGTCTGAAATAAAGACTGATACTATTGAAATTCGAACAATATAGCCTAAGCTAATGCGAACTGGGCAACTCTGTTTCTGTTCCTCAGGTGACTTTCTAAAGTTGTCGCTAAAAATGGCGGTAACTAAGACTGATACTATTGAAATACGAACAATATAAGCAAAAATACAAGAATTAGGCAATTCTGTCTGTTTTAGGTGACTTTAGAAAGTTGTTGTAAAAATGTCTGAAATAAAGACTGATATTATTGAAATTCGAACAATTAAGCAAAAATTATCGAACCAATAATTCTTGTCTGTTTTAGGTTACTTTAGAAAGTTGTTGTAAAATGGTCTGAAACAAAGACCGATACCATTGAAATTCGAACAATATAAGCAAATATAATGTCGGCAATTCTCGTCTGTTTTAGGTGACTTTAGACAGTTGTTGCAAAAATGTCTGAAATAAAGACTGATACTTTGAAATACGAAAAATACTAGCAAATATTATTGAAATAGGCAATTCTTGTCTGTTCTAGGTGACTTTAGAAAGTTGTTGTAAAAAGGTTTGAAACAAAGACTAATATTATTGGAATTCGAACAATATAAGCAAATTAAGATAGATAAGCATTTATTTTCTGATTTGGGCGACCTTCAAAAGTTGTAATTATTTCATTAAGCAAAAATCTGCATTTTTTGTCTGAGTGGGTGACTTTGAAACTTGTTTGTAAAAATGTTTTTTATAAAGACTGATACTATTGAAATTCGAACAATATAAGCAAATATAATCGAAATAGGCAATTCTTGTCTGTTTTAGGTGACTTTAGAAAGTTGTTGTAAAAATGTCTGAAATAAAGACTGATACTATTGAAATTCGCACAATATACGCAAATATAATCGAAATAGGCAATTCTTGTCTGTTTTAGGTGACTTTAGAAAGTTGTTGTAAAAATGTCTGAAATAAAGACTAATATTATTGGAATTCGAACAATATAAGCAAATATAAGCTAGATAAGCATTTATTTTCTGATTTGGGCGACCTTTAAAAGTTGTAAAAATTGTATTATTAAGCAAAAATCTGCATTTTTTGTCTGAGTGGGTGACTTTGAAACTTGTTTGTAAAAATGTTTTTTTAAAGACTGATATTATTGACATTCGAACAATATAAGCAAAAATAATTGAAATAGGCATTTCTTGTCTGTTTTAGGTGACTTTAGAAAGTTGTTGTAAAAAGGTCTGAAATAAAGACTAATATTATTGGAATTCGAACAATATAAGCAAATATAAGCTAGATAAGCATTTATTTTCTGATTTGGGCGACCTTTAAAAGTTGTAAAAATTGTATTATTAAGCAAAAATCTGCATTTTTTGTCTGAGTGGGTGACTTTGAAACTTGTTTGTAAAAATGTTTTTTTATTTATTGACATTCGAACAATATAAGCAAAAATAATCGAAATAGGCAATTCTTGTCTGTTGCAGGTGACTTTAGAAAGTTGTTGTAAAAATGTCTGAAATAAAGACTGATACTATTGAAATACGAACAATATAAGCAAACATAATCGAAATAGGCAATTCTGGTCTGTTGCAGGTGACTTTAGAAAGTTGTTGTAAAAAGGTCTGAAATAAAGACTAATATTATTGGAATTCGAACAATATAAGCAATGTTTTTTTTAAAGACTGATATTATTGAAATTCGAACAATATAAGCTAAAATAATCGAAATAAGCAATTCTTGTCTGTTTTAGGAGGCACCGAAACCGGCAGCGACAGAGGAACCGGCAGCGCTAGCGACAGCGTCGAAAGAACCGGCAGCGGACACGGAAACAGCGACGCCAGCAGCGCGGCCACCAGCCGAGGCTATACGGAGGAGCCATATGGAACAGCAGCACAGCCGGCGAGCAGCAGCAGAGGCGCGACGCGAGGAGGAGGCCCGAAGGAAGGCAGCAGAGAAGGCGCAAAGGGAGGCGGCGCTGAACAAGGTCATAATGCGGGAGGCACGGGACGCCCTGCAGCGGCAGATGGAGGCTGCGCGGCGTGAAGCCGAAGCCCACGAGGGGAACGAGGAGGAGGATCCGTCTCCGGTGGTGAAGACGGGCCTGGTTGACAGACCGGCGGGGCAGCAGCAGCCACAACAGGGTGAAGAGGCACCCTTATGGGAACGCCGGCATTCTGAGCCACCGTCGCAGCCACAGAGCACGCAACAGCCAACGCCCCCGCAGTCGCCGCCACCAAAATCGCCACCACCGAATTCACCGCCACAACAGTCGTCGCCACGACGGCAGGAGTCACCGAAGGAGCCGCCAGAGGAACAGGCACAGCAGCCCCAGTGGGGTGGTCCGGAGAACGCGATATGCGGGCCATTTGTGTCGCAAAGCGTTCACACGGCAGTGAGGAGTGGCATGGTATGGCACCACCAAACGATACACATCACGTGGGCGTCGGGAACCGCACCGTCGGATATAGCCACTATAACGTAATATGCCAGTAAATATCCCTGTTTCACTCTAACTCTGAAGTTTCTTATCGGATCAGGACATGCCACGCCTCCTAGCCATCTGTACAACGTCCTGATTGTGTCAATGCCTTCTGGAGAATGTGCAGGATCTTTTGCAATCAATTTGCCTACGAAGCCCACGAAGGGAACGAGGAGGAGGCTTTGCCTCCTCCGAGGTCTTAAGGTGAAGACGGGCCTGGTTGACAGACCGGCGGGGCAGCAGCAGCCACAACAGGGTGAAGAGGCACCCTTATGGGAACGCCGGCATTCTGAGCCACCGTCGCAGCCACAGAGCACGCAACAGCCAACGCCCCCGCAGTCGCCGCCACCAAAATCGCCACCACCGAATTCACCGCCACAACAGTCGTCGCCACGACGGCAGGAGTCACCGAAGGAGCCGCCACAGGAACAGGCACAGCAGCCCCAGTGGGTTGGTCCGGAGAACGCGGTATGCGGGCAATTTGTGTCGCAAAGCGTTCACACGGCAGTGAGGAGTGGCATGGTATGGCACCACCAAACGATACACATCACGTGGGCGTCGGGAACCGCACCGTCGGATATAGCCACTATAACGTAATCTGCCAGTAAATATCCCTGTTTCACTCTAACTTTGAAGTTTCTTATCGGATCAGGACATGCGCCTCCTAACCATCTGTACAACGTCCTGAATGTGTCAATGCCTTCTGGAGAATGTGCAGGATCTTTTGCAATCAATTTGGATTGCAGGACATAAAGGATATAGCCACTATAACGTAATCTGCCAGTTAATATCCCTGTTTCACTCTAGCTCTGAAGTTTCTTATCGGATCAGGACATGCCACGCCTCCTAGCCATCTGTACAACGTCCTGATTGTGTCAATGCCTTCTGGAGAATGTGCATTGTTCGAATTTCAATAATACCGGTCTTTATAAAAAACATTTTTACAAACAAGTTTCAAAGTCACCCACTCAGACAAAAATTGCATATTTTTGCTTAATAATACAATTTTTACAACTTTTAAAGGTCGCCCAAATCAGAAAATAAATGCTTATCTAGCTTATATTTGCTTATATTGTTCGAATTCCAATAATATTAGTCTTTATTTCAGACATTTTTACAACAACTTTCTAAAGTCACCTAAAACAGACAAGAAATGCCTATTTCAATTATTTTTGCTTATATTGTTCGAATTTCAATAGTATCAGTCTTTATTTCAGACATTTTTACAACAATTTTCTAAAGTCACCTAAAACAGACAAGAATTGCCTATTTCGATTATTTTTGCTTATATTGTTCGAATTTCAATAATATCAGTCTTTATAAAAAACATTTTTACAAACAAGTTTCAAAGTCACCCACTCAGACAAAAAATTCATATTTTTGCTTAATAATACAATTTTTACAACTTTTAAAGGTCGCCCAAATCAGAAAATAAATGCTTATCTAGCTTATATTTGCTTATATTGTTCGAATTCCAATAATATTAGTCTTTATTTCAGACATTTTTACAACAACTTTCTAAAGTCACCTAAAACAGACAAGAATTGCCTATTTCGATTATATTTGCTTATATTGTTCGAATTTCACTAATATCAGTCGCCAAATCTGAAAATAGTTGCTTATTTAGCTCATATTTGCTTATATTGTTCGAATTTCAATACTATCAGTCTTTATTTCAGACATTTTTACAACAACTTTCTAAAGTCACCTAAAACAGACAAGAATTGCCTATTTCGATTATTTTTGCTTATATTGTTCGTATTTCAATAGTATCAGTCTTTATTTCAGACATTTTTACAACAACTTTCTAAAGTCGCCTGAAACAGACAAGAATTGCCTATTTCGATTATGTTTGCTTATATTGTTCGAATTTCAATAATATCTGTCTTTATTTCAGACATTTTTACAACAACTTTCTAAAGTCACCTAAAACAGACAAGAATTGACTATTTCGATTACTTTTGCTTATATTGTTCGAATTTCAATAGTACCAGTCTTTATTTCAGACATTTTTACAACAACTTTCTAAAGTCTCCCAAAGCAGACAAGCATAGCTCATTTCGATTACTTTTGCTTATATTGTTCGATTTCCAATAATATTAGTCTTTATTTCAGACATTTTTACAACAACTTTCTAAAGTCACCTAAAACAGACAAGAATTGCCTATTTCGATTATTTTTGCTTATATTGTTCGTATTTCAATAGTATCAGTCTTTATTTCAGAAATGTGTACAACAACTTTCTAAAGTCACCTGAAACAGACAAGAATTGCCTATTTCGATTATTTTTGCTTATATTGTTCGTATTTCAATAGTATCAGTCTTTATTTCAGACATTTTTACAACAACTTCTAAAGTCACCTGAAACAGACAAGAATGGCCTATTTCGATTATTTTTGCTGTTAGTTCGTATTTCAATAGTATCAGTCTTTATTTCAGACATTTTTACAACAACTTCTAAAGTCACCTGAAACAGACAAGAATTGCCTATTTCGATTATATTTGCTTATATTGTTCGAAATTCAATAATATCTGTCTTTATTTCAGACATAATCGAAATGAGCTATGCTTGTCTGCTTTGGGAGACTTTGGAAAGTTGTTGTAAAAATGTCTGAAATAAAGACTGGGACTATTGAAATTCGAACAATATAAGCAAAAGTAATCGAAATAGTCAATTCTTGTCTGTTTCAGGTGACTTTAGAAAGTTGTTGTAAAAATGTCTGAAGTAAAGACTGATACTATTGAAATACGAACAATATAAGCAAAAATAATCGAAATAGGCAATTCTTGTCTGTTTTATGTGACTTTAGAAAGTTGTTGTAAAAATGTCTGAAATAAAGACTAATATTATTGGAATTCGAACAACATAAGCAAATATAAGATAGATAAGCATTTATTTTCTGATTTGGGCGACCTTTAAAAGTTGTAAAAATTGTATTATTAAGCAAAAATCTGCATTTTTTGTCTGAGTGGGTGACTTTGAAACTTGTTTGTAAAAATGTTTTTTTAAAGACTGATATTATTGACATTCGAACAATATAAGCAAAAATAATTGAAATAGGCATTTCTTGTCTGTTTTAGGTGACTTTAGAAAGTTGTTGTAAAAAGGTCTGAAATAAAGACTAATATTATTGGAATTCGAACAATATAAGCAAATATAAGCTAGATAAGCATTTATTTTCTGATTTGGGCGACCTTTAAAAGTTGTAAAAATTGTATTATTAAGCAAAAATCTGCATTTTTTGTCTGAGTGGGTGACTTTGAAACTTGTTTGTAAAAATGTTTTTTTATTTATTGACATTCGAACAATATAAGCAAAAATAATCGAAATAGGCAATTCTTGTCTGTTGCAGGTGACTTTAGAAAGTTGTTGTAAAAATGTCTGAAATAAAGACTGATACTATTGAAATACGAACAATATAAGCAAACATAATCGAAATAGGCAATTCTGGTCTGTTGCAGGTGACTTTAGAAAGTTGTTGTAAAAAGGTCTGAAATAAAGACTAATATTATTGGAATTCGAACAATATAAGCAATGTTTTTTTTAAAGACTGATATTATTGAAATTCGAACAATATAAGCTAAAATAATCGAAATAAGCAATTCTTGTCTGTTTTAGGAGGCACCGAAACCGGCAGCGACAGAGGAACCGGCAGCGCTAGCGACAGCGTCGAAAGAACCGGCAGCGGACACGGAAACAGCGACGCCAGCAGCGCGGCCACCAGCCGAGGCTATACGGAGGAGCCATATGGAACAGCAGCACAGCCGGCGAGCAGCAGCAGAGGCGCGACGCGAGGAGGAGGCCCGAAGGAAGGCAGCAGAGAAGGCGCAAAGGGAGGCGGCGCTGAACAAGGTCATAATGCGGGAGGCACGGGACGCCCTGCAGCGGCAGATGGAGGCTGCGCGGCGTGAAGCCGAAGCCCACGAGGGGAACGAGGAGGAGGATCCGTCTCCTCCGAGGTTCTTAAAGGTGAAGACGGGCCTGGTTGACAGACCGGCGGGGCAGCAGCAGCCACAACAGGGTGAAGAGGCACCCTTATGGGAACGCCGGCCACAGAGCAAGCAACAGCCAACGCCCCCGCAGTCGCCGCTACCAAAATTGCCACCACCGAATTCACCGCCACAACAGTCGTCGCCACGACGGCAGGAGTCACCGAAGGAGCCGCCACAGGAACAGGCACAGCAGCCCCAGTGGGGTGGTCCGGAGAACGCGATATGCGGGCCATTTGTGTCGCAAAGCGTTCACACGGCAGTGAGGAGTGGCATGGTATGGCACCACCAAACGATACACATCACGTGGGCGTCGGGAACCGCACCGTCGGATATAGCCACTATAACGTAATCTGCCAGTAAATATCCCTGTTTCACTCTAACTCTGAAGTTTCTTATCGGATCAGGACATGCCACGCCTCCTAGCCATCTGTACAACGTCCTGATTGTGTCAATGCCTTCTGGAGAATGTGCAGGATCTTTTGCAATCAATTTGCCTACGAAGCCCACGAAGGGAACGAGGAGGAGGCTTTGCCTCCTCCGAGGTTCTTAAAGGTGAAGACGGGCCTGGTTGACAGACCGGCGGGGCAGCAGCAGCCACAACAGGGTGAAGAGGCACCCTTATGGGAACACATCACGTGGGCGTCGGGACCCGCACCGTCGGTGGCGCAGCAAGACCGGAAGGTATGGGAGGAGGAGCAAGCCCCGCGAAGCAACGCGCGCGATCCACGGCAGCACCGAAGGCAGGCAGAGGCCAGGGCGGCAGAGGAGACGGCGTCGGAGGCACGGGAGCCAGCGACAGCGGCAGCGGGAACACACGCAGCAGCGGAGGCACCGGTTGCGACGGCGGCCGGGAAGCCGGCGGCAGCGACGGAGACGCCGACAGAGGCACCGACGCCGGCAGCGGCAGCGACAGAGGAACCGGCAGCGCCAGCGGCAGCGTCGAAAGAACCGGCAGCGGACACGGAAACAGCGACGCCAGCAGCGCGGCCACCAGCCGCGGCCATACGGAGGACCCATATGGAACAGCAGCACAGCCGGCGAGCAGCAGCAGAGGCGCGACGCGAGGAGGAGGCCCGAAGGAAGGCAGCAGAGAAGGCGCAAAGGGAGGCGGCGCTGAACAAGGTCATAATGCGGGAGGCAAGGGACGCCCTGCAGCGGCAGATGGAGGCTGCGCGGCGTGAAGCCGAAGCCCACGAGGGGAACGAGGAGGAGGATCCGTCTCCTCCGAGGTTCTTAAAGGTGAAGACGGGCCTGGTTGACAGACCGGCGGGGCAGCAGCAGCCACAACAGGGTGAAGAGGCACCCTTATGGGAACGCCGGCATTCTGAGCCACCGTCGCAGCCACAGAGCACGCAACAGCCAACGCCCCCGCAGTCGCCGCCACCAAAATCGCCACCACCGAATTCACCGCCACAACAGTCGTCGCCACGACGGCAGGAGTCACCGAAGGAGCCGCCAGAGGAACAGGCACAGCAGCCCCAGTGGGGTGGTCCGGAGAACGCGATATGCGGGCCATTTGTGTCGCAAAGCGTTCACACGGCAGTGAGGAGTGGCATGGTATGGCACCACCAAACGATACACATCACGTGGGCGTCGGGAACCGCACCGTCGGATATAGCCACTATAACGTAATATGCCAGTAAATATCCCTGTTTCACTCTAACTCTGAAGTTTCTTATCGGATCAGGACATGCCACGCCTCCTAGCCATCTGTACAACGTCCTGATTGTGTCAATGCCTTCTGGAGAATGTGCAGGATCTTTTGCAATCAATTTGCCTACGAAGCCCACGAAGGGAACGAGGAGGAGGCTTTGCCTCCTCCGAGGTTCTTAAAGGTGAAGACGGGCCTGGTTGACAGACCGGCGGGGCAGCAGCAGCCACAACAGGGTGAAGAGGCACCCTTATGGGAACGCCGGCATTCTGAGCCACCGTCGCAGCCACAGAGCACGCAACAGCCAACGCCCCCGCAGTCGCCGCCACCAAAATCGCCACCACCGAATTCACCGCCACAACAGTCGTCGCCACGACGGCAGGAGTCACCGAAGGAGCCGCCACAGGAACAGGCACAGCAGCCCCAGTGGGTTGGTCCGGAGAACGCGGTATGCGGGCAATTTGTGTCGCAAAGCGTTCACACGGCAGTGAGGAGTGGCATGGTATGGCACCACCAAACGATACACATCACGTGGGCGTCGGGAACCGCACCGTCGGATATAGCCACTATAACGTAATCTGCCAGTAAATATCCCTGTTTCACTCTAACTTTGAAGTTTCTTATCGGATCAGGACATGCGCCTCCTAGCCATCTGTACAACGTCCTGAATGTGTCAATGCCTTCTGGAGAATGTGCAGGATCTTTTGCAATCAATTTGGATTGCAGGACATAAAGGATATAGCCACTATAACGTAATCTGCCAGTTAATATCCCTGTTTCACTCTAGCTCTGAAGTTTCTTATCGGATCAGGACATGCCACGCCTCCTAGCCATCTGTACAACGTCCTGATTGTGTCAATGCCTTCTGGAGAATGTGCATTGTTCGAATTTCAATAATACCGGTCTTTATAAAAAACATTTTTACAAACAAGTTTCAAAGTCACCCACTCAGACAAAAATTGCATATTTTTGCTTAATAATACAATTTTTACAACTTTTAAAGGTCGCCCAAATCAGAAAATAAATGCTTATCTAGCTTATATTTGCTTATATTGTTCGAATTCCAATAATATTAGTCTTTATTTCAGACATTTTTACAACAACTTTCTAAAGTCACCTAAAACAGACAAGAAATGCCTATTTCAATTATTTTTGCTTATATTGTTCGAATTTCAATAGTATCAGTCTTTATTTCAGACATTTTTACAACAATTTTCTAAAGTCACCTAAAACAGACAAGAATTGCCTATTTCGATTATTTTTGCTTATATTGTTCGAATTTCAATAATATCAGTCTTTATAAAAAACATTTTTACAAACAAGTTTCAAAGTCACCCACTCAGACAAAAAATTCATATTTTTGCTTAATAAACAATTTTTACAACTTTTAAAGGTCGCCCAAATCAGAAAATAAATGCTTATCTAGCTTATATTTGCTTATATTGTTCGAATTCCAATAATATTAGTCTTTATTTCAGACATTTTTACAACAACTTTCTAAAGTCACCTAAAACAGACAAGAATTGCCTATTTCGATTATATTTGCTTATATTGTTCGAATTTCACTAATATCAGTCGCCAAATCTGAAAATAGTTGCTTATTTAGCTCATATTTGCTTATATTGTTCGAATTTCAATACTATCAGTCTTTATTTCAGACATTTTTACAACAACTTTCTAAAGTCACCTAAAACAGACAAGAATTGCCTATTTCGATTATTTTTGCTTATATTGTTCGTATTTCAATAGTATCAGTCTTTATTTCAGACATTTTTACAACAACTTCTAAAGTCGCCTAAAATTTGTTTTTTGTTTTTGTTTTTTTTTATTTTTCGAATTTCAAAAATATCCGGCTTTATTCAGACACTAAAGTAACAGACAAGAATTGCCTATTTCGATTATGTTTGCTTATATTGTTCGAATTTCAATAATATCTGTCTTTATTTCAGACATTTTTACAACAACTTTCTAAAGTCACCTAAAACAGACAAGAATTGACTATTTCGATTACTTTTGCTTATATTGTTCGAATTTCAATAGTACCAGTCTTTATTTCAGACATTTTTACAACAACTTTCTAAAGTCTCCCAAAGCAGACAAGCATAGCTCATTTCGATTACTTTTGCTTATATTGTTCGATTTCCAATAATATTAGTCTTTATTTCAGACATTTTTACAACAACTTTCTAAAGTCACCTAAAACAGACAAGAATTGCCTATTTCGATTATTTTTGCTTATATTGTTCGTATTTCAATAGTATCAGTCTTTATTTCAGAAATGTGTACAACAACTTTCTAAAGTCACCTGAAACAGACAAGAATTGCCTATTTCGATTATTTTTGCTTGTATTGTTCGTATTTCAATAGTATCAGTCTTTATTTCAGACATTTTTACAACAACTTTCTAAAGTCACCTGAAACAGACAAGAATGGCCTATTTCGATTATTTTTGCTTATATAGTTCGTATTTCAATAGTATCAGTCTTTATTTCAGACATTTTTACAACAACTTTCTAAAGTCACCTGAAACAGACAAGAATTGCCTATTTCGATTATATTTGCTTATATTGTTCGAAATTCAATAATATCTGTCTTTATTTCAGACATAATCGAAATGAGCTATGCTTGTCTGCTTTGGGAGACTTTGGAAAGTTGTTGTAAAAATGTCTGAAATAAAGACTGGGACTATTGAAATTCGAACAATATAAGCAAAAGTAATCGAAATAGTCAATTCTTGTCTGTTTTAGGTGACTTTAGAAGTTGTTGTAAAAATGTCTGAAGTAAAGACTGATACTATTGAAATACGAACAATATAAGCAAAAATAATCGAAATAGGCAATTCTTGTCTGTTTTATGTGACTTTAGAAAGTTGTTGTAAAAATGTCTGAAATAAAGACTAATATTATTGGAATTCGAACAACATAAGCAAATATAAGATAGATAAGCATTTATTTTCTGATTTGGGCGACCTTTAAAAGTTGTAAAAATTGTATTATTAAGCAAAAATCTGCATTTTTTGTCTGAGTGGGTGACTTTGAAACTTGTTTGTAAAAATGTTTTTTTAAAGACTGATATTATTGACATTCGAACAATATAAGCAAAAATAATTGAAATAGGCATTTCTTGTCTGTTTTAGGTGACTTTAGAAGTTGTTGTAAAAAGGTCTGAAATAAAGACTAATATTATTGGAATTCGAACAATATAAGCAAATATAAGATAGATAAGCATTTATTTTCTGATTTGGGCGACCTTTAAAAGTTGTAAAAATTGTATTATTAAGCAAAAATCTGCATTTTTTGTCTGAGTGGGTGACTTTGAAACTTGTTTGTAAAAATGTTTTTTTATTTATTGACATTCGAACAATATAAGCAAAAATAATCGAAATAGGCAATTCTTGTCTGTTGCAGGTGACTTTAGAAAGTTGTTGTAAAAATGTCTGAAATAAAGACTGATACTATTGAAATACGAACAATATAAGCAAACATAATCGAAATAGGCAATTCTGGTCTGTTGCAGGTGACTTTAGAAAGTTGTTGTAAAAAGGTCTGAAATAAAGACTAATATTATTGGAATTCGAACAATATAAGCAATGTTTTTTTTAAAGACTGATATTATTGAAATTCGAACAATATAAGCTAAAATAATCGAAATAAGCAATTCTTGTCTGTTTTAGGAGGCACCGAAACCGGCAGCGACAGAGGAACCGGCAGCGCTAGCGACAGCGTCGAAAGAACCGGCAGCGGACACGGAAACAGCGACGCCAGCAGCGCGGCCACCAGCCGAGGCTATACGGAGGAGCCATATGGAACAGCAGCACAGCCGGCGAGCAGCAGCAGAGGCGCGACGCGAGGAGGAGGCCCGAAGGAAGGCAGCAGAGAAGGCGCAAAGGGAGGCGGCGCTGAACAAGGTCATAATGCGGGAGGCACGGGACGCCCTGCAGCGGCAGATGGAGGCTGCGCGGCGTGAAGCCGAAGCCCACGAGGGGAACGAGGAGGAGGATCCGTCTCCTCCGAGGTTCTTAAAGGTGAAGACGGGCCTGGTTGACAGACCGGCGGGGCAGCAGCAGCCACAACAGGGTGAAGAGGCACCCTTATGGGAACGCCGGCCACAGAGCAAGCAACAGCCAACGCCCCCGCAGTCGCCGCTACCAAAATTGCCACCACCGAATTCACCGCCACAACAGTCGTCGCCACGACGGCAGGAGTCACCGAAGGAGCCGCCACAGGAACAGGCACAGCAGCCCCAGTGGGGTGGTCCGGAGAACGCGATATGCGGGCCATTTGTGTCGCAAAGCGTTCACACGGCAGTGAGGAGTGGCATGGTATGGCACCACCAAACGATACACATCACGTGGGCGTCGGGAACCGCACCGTCGGATATAGCCACTATAACGTAATCTGCCAGTAAATATCCCTGTTTCACTTCTAACTCTGAAGTTTCTTATCGGATCAGGACATGCCACGCCTCCTAGCCATCTGTACAACGTCCTGATTGTGTCAATGCCTTCTGGAGAATGTGCAGGATCTTTTGCAATCAAATTTGCCTACGAAGCCCACGAAGGGAACGAGGAGGAGGCTTTGCCTCCTCCGAGGTTCTTAAAGGTGAAGACGGGCCTGGTTGACAGACCGGGCGGGGAGCAGCAGCCACAACAGGGTGAAGAGGCACCCTTATGGGAACACATCACGTGGGCGTCGGGACCCGCACCGTCGGTGGCGCAGCAAGACCGGAAGGTATGGGAGGAGGAGCAAGCCCCGCGAAGCAACGCGCGCGATCCACGGCAGCACCGAAGGCAGGCAGAGGCCAGGGCGGCAGAGGAGACGGCGTCGGAGGCACGAGAGCCAGCGACAGCGGCAGCGGGAACACACGCAGCAGCGGAGGCACCGGTTGCGACGGCGGCCGGGAAGCCGGCGGCAGCGACGGAGACGCCGACAGAGGCACCGACGCCGGCAGCGGCAGCGACAGAGGAACCGGCAGCGCCAGCGGCAGCGTCGAAAGAACCGGCAGCGGACACGGAAACAGCGACGCCAGCAGCGCGGCCACCAGCCGCGGCCATACGGAGGACCCATATGGAACAGCAGCACAGCCGACGAGCAGCAGCAGAGGCGCGACGCGAGGAGGGAGGCCCGAAGGAAGGCAGCAGAGAAGGCGCAAAGGGAGGCGGCGCTGAACAAGGTCATAATGCGGGAGGCAAGGGACGCCCTGCAGCGGCAGATGGAGGCTGCGCGGCGTGAAGCCGAAGCCCACGAGGGGAACGAGAGAGGAGGATCCGTTCCTCCGAGGTTCTTAAAGGTGAAGACGGGCCTGGTTGACAGACCGGCGGGGCAGCAGCAGCCACAACAGGGTGAAGAGGCACCCTTATGGGAACGCCGGCATTCTGAGCCACCGTCGCAGCCACAGAGCACGCAACAGCCAACGCCCCCGCAGTCGCCGCCACCAAAATCGCCACCACCGAATTCACCGCCACAACAGTCGTCGCCACGACGGCAGGAGTCACCGAAGGAGCCGCCAGAGGAACAGGCACAGCAGCCCCAGTGGGGTGGTCCGGAGAACGCGATATGCGGGCCATTTGTGTCGCAAAGCGTTCACA